CAGTGCTGAGGTCCTCTTGGGCACAGAGGGAGATTTATAGCCCTTTCATTCCTCCTAGGAGCTATTCCTCCATGTTCCCCCTTTATTTTTATTTCCTTCTTTTTTTTTTATAAAACGCAAAAAGAAAAGGAGTGACCTAACCATGGAGTTCTCAATCCATGAACCTGCTCCCCCCGGGCCCCTTCCTGATACTGCACTCTGTTCTGACCCTGCCTCGTTATTTGACCACTCTTTGGACATTTCTAATGCCCCTGTACTTCCTGCTGGTGCCGTTTTGACACCTGCTCCAGGTACCAGGATTTCAACTGACTCCTTCAATACATCTGACCTCCACTCTTCTTTGACTATGCTTCAGGCTTCTCCCTCTACAGTGCGGCAATTTTCTGATCGCCCGCCCATCCTGTGTTGGACCGACTCCGGTCCCACTCCTAAACACCCAAGACCATTACCTGATGATACTTCTTCGCTTCCTTCTCAGAAAAGACCGGCATGTCACGCACTCTCTTTACACACTATGCTTCTAAATACACAGTGGACTTTATTTTTACCCTACGACCAATTTCCTCTTCTGCCTATCTTTCTGACCATAGTATTGGCAAGGCTCTCCTATGCCATTTTGGTAGAAATGTATCCTTTCATGCTCTCAAGAGCAGTGCACGCATCATCAGTGTCCAGAATGCTAACCATGCTCATGATCTTTCTCTCCTTACAACTATCGATACTATTCCTGTAACTATTGAAAAACATCATTCCCCCAAGTCTTGTAGTGGTACTGTCATTCTACCCCATACCATTGTCCAACAGAATTTCCAGACATGTGGCGATGACATTCTGAAACAGCTAAAACTCCAAGACCTCCCAATCCTCACTTATGTCCTCCCTGCCCACAAGCGGAGACGATACCATTGCAATGTAGCTCGTTTAACTTTTGACTGCTGTGAGCTTCCATCATCTGTATATATAGCAGGACACTGTTTCCAAGTTCGAAAGGTGATCCCTATACCACAACAGTGTAGAAATTGCTGGCATTTTGGTCATCTAGCAAAATATTGCAGGTCTGTTGCTGAATGCCTAGTCTGTGGTGCTGACAACCATACCAATACATCTTGTAGTCTACCTCCCTCTTGCCTTAATTGTCATGAGGGTCACCCGTTGCCAAGTTTACTTAAATGAGCATGAAATTCATTGTCTCAAAGAGGCAGATTATTATTATTATAATCAAAAAGAAGCGCTAAACCACAAGGGCTATACAGTGGTGCTCAAAGAGGCAGAAGACCTCCCACATGCTATGGCAGTTTCTCATCTATGCCTCCAAGGGAAATGTCCCCATATTTCTTATTCTCGAGTTACTAAACGGCCCCACTCCTCTGGGGTCCCAACTTCTGCAGCCTCCTTTGTGGTCACCCCTGTCTCTAATTCTTTTGCTGTCCTGGACTCAGAGGTCCCTACCTCGGCACCTCATTCTGTTCTCACCTCTTCCTCTTCTCGTACAACACCTACTCCCCGTCGCCCCTCTCCTTCTCCGAAGTCCAAAACATTCCCATTGTTAAAATCTCTTCTCACCCCTCCTTCCATTCTGCAACCTGCTCATTTTTCCTTCCCAGTCTCTATACCCAGTTCTTCACCTCTAACTGGCTCTGTTACGAGTGTGGAGGTTCATCCTCCTCCTCGTACAGTACCTTCTTTCCCTGTCCCCTCCCAGGTTGCTTCCTCTTCAGATGTCCCCTCCTAAACTTTTTCTCTAGTTCCCTCTACCCTTTCACTCCCACTTACTTTGGCACAGTCCATTGTCTCCCCAATCTTTACTCACCCTCCTTTTTCCATCTCCAGTATTGTACCACATACAACGTCCTTGTATCTCAGAATATATTGAGGAGACTAGACCATTGATGGACACTGATCCACTTCCTGTTCCTCCTCTTCACTCTCCATCTGCAGAACTCCTTTCTTTGCAGTGTCCCAATCCTTCGCTGCTTAAAAGTTTTCCGCTACCTCCACATGTGGACTTTTCTAACCCTGTTAGTCCGTAGATACCTCTACCTTCAGATTTCTTGCATCTTTTTGCAAATCATGGCTTATATAAAGTGGAATATCCACGGCCTGAGGGGTGAACTCCATGTGTTGCTCTCCCAGTTTTCCCGTTTGTATTTGTTGACAAGAACCCAAATTACGCTTCGCTGTTATCCATCCCATCTCAGGCTATGATTTATTATATTCATTAGATCCTTTTCCCGCTGGAACCTTTAATAAAAGTGCACTTCTTATACGCACCAGTATTCCATATTGTGGCCGATGCCTTCGCATCGGCCACTCGTCTTACTCACAGGTATCTCATGGAGAGGTGCCCTGTTCCACTCTGTGAGAATTGTCAGGTTCCAGTTTCTGTTAGCCACATTCTGTTGGACTGCCCACTCTATCAACAAGCATGCAGAATTCACCTCAAACGTCGCCACCACTATACTGCCCTTACTTTACCTTCCCTTCTTGCCGATTGACCCTCTTTTAACCCAGAGTCTGTCATTGACTTTTTGACAGCAACTGATTTACTGCACAAACTCTGATGATGATGCCTCTAGTACTCCTCACAGCCCTTTCTACCTCAATCTCTTACTACCCTCTACCCCTGCACTATCCACTGCCCTCACTACACTCCATGACCTAATAATCATCCCTCTCCCTCTTGCTACCCAATACCCCTCCATCCTTCCCTGCCTGGCAGCGCTGTATGACCCTTGTAGGTTTAGCTCTCTATTGATTATAATAATAATTAACTAGTGAATCCTGCAACATACTAGAGTGACCACAAACTTGTTCAAGAACTAATAAATCAAATTGGCCAAGATTCTTCCACTTTGTAAAATGTGGGATGGGTATTCAACAGAGTTAATGGTGACCAAGCTAAGAATGCAAGATATCACACCATTAGCAGGACTGTGATTGTAAATCAACACTCCACCCTTAATTCATGCTATGAAACTGTTGTCATCCTTTGCATCATTATCATACTGTAAGACTTCAAATACGGTTTAGAACCAACACCTTCCTCTCACTGAAGTTGATATGTATGTTTTGCTGCATTCACAGACTGAACCAAACCAGTATAGCTAATCTCATCTTATGAAAGATGAGGTGAATCATAGAATTGATGAAGGGAAAAGGGTGAGCGGTGCACTTAGGAGTCTGTGGAGACAAAGAACTTTGTCCTTGGAAGCAAAGAGGGGAATGTATGAGAGCACAGTCGACCCCCGGTTAACGATATTTTTTCATTCCAGAAGTATGTTCAGGTGCCAGTACTGACCGAATTTGTTCCCATAAGGAATATTGTGAAGTAGATTAGTCCATTTCAGACCCCCAAACATACACGTACAAATGCACTTACATAAATACATTAACATAATTGGTCGCATTGGGAGGTGATCATTAAGCGGGGGTCCACTGTATAGTTTTACCGACACTCCTGTATGGGTGTGAAGCATGGGTGATGAATGTTGCAGTGAGAAGGCTGGAGGCAGTGGAGATATCATGTCTGAGAGCAATGTGTGGTGTGAATATAATGCAGAGAATTCGTAGTTTGGAAGTTAGGAGGAGGTGCGGGATTGCCAAAACTGTTGTCCAGAGGGCTGAGGAAGGGTTGTTGAGGTGGTTCGGACATGTAGAGAGAATGGAGCGAAACAGAATGACTTCAAGAGTGTATCAGTCTGTAGTGGAAGGAAGGCGGGGTAGGGGTCGGCCTAGGAAAGGTTGGAGGGAGGGGTAAAGGAGGTTTTGTGTGCGAGGGGCTTGGACTTCCAGCGGGTATGCGTGAGCATGTTTGATAGGAGTGAATGGAGACAAATGGTTTTTAATACTTGACATGCTGTTAGTGCCTGCACTCTGAAGGAGGGGTGTTAATGTTGCAGTTTAAAAAACTCTAGTGTAAAGCACCCTTCTGGCAAGACAGTGATGGAATGATGGTGAAAGTTTTTCTTTTTCGGGCCACCCTGCCTTGGTGGGAATCGGCCAGTGTGTTAATAAAAAAAAAAAAAAATAAGTCTCCCTTCTAAAAAGGTAAGACTTAGCAGGTCAGTGCTTGTCACTGAGACCCCAAACCAATATCACAAAAGTGCCACAAATGCTAGGGATATGGCCACCCAAGAATATATTGCAAGCCACTGGAAGAATGTTCTTAACTGTGGTGCAGTATGCCTTTTGTATTTTCAGTGGCATCCCATATATTCTTTAAAAAAATGAGATTCAATTTTTGAGGAAGAAAGAGGGTTTGTAAAATAGTCAAGCTGTGAACCAACTCTACCAGAGTTGACACCCAGGATGATGACTGAGTAATATTGAAAGAATGAGAAAATTGGCTAGTCGTGTGTGTGGGGGGAGGGGGGGGTGGCTGTTATGGTTTGGAAGATCAAAACAGTATGGCATAAGTAATATGCCAGAAACTGTCATGCACATAGCTCACAAACACTGATGAATCTATTAAGTTACTAGTTTTGTATTATTTTTTTTTTATTTTTTTTTTTTTTTTGAGGGTTAGTGCTTAGTTTGATTATATAATTGTCTAAACATTTTATGAATGAAGCCTCTTAGTACTGTGTACTGTAGTTTTACACGCATTTAGGTTAGGGGTTTGCGTATTTTTATTTTTTTTTTCTAAAAATTTTACTGCTAATTATACTGGGATAGGAGACAGGATGCCTCCCTTGATTACTATAATTGCCATATCTAGTGAATATTACATTTAACACTTCAGTGACAGTATAAAATTAATTCTAGTAATTTGCAGTTTACATAAATTATGCCTTAGGCTAAGCACTACATATACAAAATTCACACTTTATTTAGCATTCTTTACATGTATAAAACATTTTAAAAGGTGCATCACAAAATGGAACACAGGTCGACTTTGTTACATTATAGAGTTTTGTTTCAAAATTAGGATTTGCACATTTTCTTACTACAATGCTAAAAAATTATATTTCTAGGTTAACTGAAATGTACTTCATTTGCAGGGGTCATTAAGCCGTGCTCTAGGTCTTCGCCTACGTGAAGAGGCTGCCACAGCAGGTAACAATGGTGGTGAATCCTCATCCTCGGGAGGGCAGTCCCCAGCTGTAACAGCAAGAACTAATGCCCATCGTGTACTTCATGCTCGCCCTCGTTCCACTATTATGCCTTCTGGTGTTTATGTACATCATGAGACACATCGTCGTGTCAAGAGTATTGGTGATATCGAGACTATCACCGTGACACCAGTTTAGCAATACTCTTGCCAGCGACTCACATGGACGTTCGCTGAAAGGTGTGCCGAGGTTTGTTCATTTATGTGTTCTCCTGTTTTGAAAATTTTCAACTAAACACAATGTGTATCAACAGGGTGAATAGATATAGATACATTAAATATACAAGACTACATTATTAGTCAAACCTAATGACACTTAGAATAAATACTTTGTATGAATATTAGATTACTTCATTTTAAGCCATTATCATTTAGAGTAGTTTTTGAAGAGCATGAGGAGCACTGGTAATCTATAATGCAAAAACCAGTATAACTGCTGCAACTGCTTTTCCTGAACTTCTCAAAGACCACTGAGCAATTTCTATGATATAATTCTACTGCCACTGAGATATTTTGATATAATATTTGAAACACAGATTCATATCGAAATTTTTTTGTATAATTTGATACTATTTGAGTACAACTTGATAAGCAGCCACAGGGACCACACCAGATGGCCTTTCCCCGTGGGTAGTTCTCAGGCCAATAGTGTGAGGTGATTTACATACAGTGCTTATTAAATTGGTAAGTAGGCTCAAACCAGGATTTTCTTGCACCACAAGCAGAATAGCTAGTGTTTGAAAAAATATGCATGTCTGAGGTTTACACAAAGGTATCTTCAAAATGTAAACATCTCTATCTGTATTGTACATATATAAGCTACATAAATTCAGATTTAAATACCTGCTTAAATTGTTTAATATACTGCTCAATTTTTTCCATTAACAATAGAACATAGCAGTGATGAAAAAGACACCAGTAGGAGTGAAGTCCTTTGTTGATGCATTTCACACGAGTGAAAAGCTGTACTAGTGTCTTTTACACCACTAGTTGGTGTTACATCTCCAGTTTGCACCAGAACATAGCAGTCATGGGATGAGCATTATAAACAAAGATGTGGGACCAGGTACCTTCTATTTCACTGAAGGGTTCCATGTTTTTCACACAGGTTTCTTGTCAGAAATGTGGTCTTTCAGTCAGCTGCATCAATCATGTAAATCTGTCAGATTCATCACTGCTTGAGGTTTAGTAACAGGTAATGTAAATGTATATGAATATTTTAAGTAATAATCTCTTTAGAGATACAGTTGCTAGCCCTCAGGAGGTGTTCAAGAGTTGGAATTAATTTCTTGTACATACTGTGTAACTTTTGTACTTAATAGTATATGTGAACGTAATGCACTGTAAGTTATTAATTTATGCTCCTCATGATGACTTGGTTGTTGTGTGTTTGACTTTTATGTAAGCAATTATATAATCTCATAGGAAAGTTAAATTTGGACAACTAAACAGTCAAGTTTTACATACATATACATATTTATATGTGGTGCTTTTTAGGCAGTAGGCCAGACAAGGCAATCTGCCATAATAGTACATACACAGTATTTAAAAAAATATTTTATACATTGATAGATTTTTGCAAATTGATGTGGTCACATTTTTAATTGTGCATCAAAACTCACTTATCAACATCAACTTGACCCTACTAAAATTAAAATAATGTTTTACAATCTTAGATCAGCCTACATCTAATTAGTATTTTTAACATCAATTAAATGTATTAATTTTGTATAGGTCAGACTAATTTTGCACAAAGCTGTTGCAGCAATGAAGTTACACTTTCCATATTTGATTTTATAAGCCAAAATTGCAAGCTCTGCCTAAAAAAGCACGACACACACACATACATATATTTTGCTTCAGAGTAGATTTGTAGTTATTAAAATGCTGATGAGCACAATAATGTTACAAGTTACTTTATAATGGATCATATTTATTAGTATTGTATTATTATGTTATAAAGATGCCACGTTAAAATATTATTGTGTGGTTTTCAATTATGACATTTCTCATAATGTGAATGTTACTAGTCAGATTTCTTTCTTAAAGACTGACCATGAGATTTTTTATTTCATGTATCAGTTGACATTGAGATATAAGCTTTCATTTATCAGTTGACAATGTAATTTTGTTCTCCTTTTGTGACTTTATCAGCACTTACTTGCTTATCTATAATCAGTCAGAGAGATTCATTGTATATACAATGAGTTGAGGTCTTAAGCAAAATTTAAGGTTGTAACTTAAAAATACTGAAAACTATGAGTTTGGAAAAATTAAATATGGACTTTGGATTAAGTTTTTTTTGTGTGTGTAGTAATGAACTACAGTAACATTTGAAATGACCATCTACAGGGAATATAATTTTATAATAAATAAAAAGGTAAAAAGGCCAGTAGTCAGAGAATCATAAGCTGTTGCAAAACTAATAGACACAAAATTGCTAGGCAACCAGTACATGTTGATATAGTCACAAGGTGGTGATTGTGTAGACTTTGCATTTCTGTTGGATACAGCCACTGCTAACCCAAACAATGTTAGTAAGTCAAGAATCAGGTTAAAATAGGATTGTTTAGGCCCCTAAATATTAAAGTGCACACCTCAAAATTTCTTCTGCAAGATTTATTCCTGACAGTAGAGAATAGCTAAACCAGGAATTTGCTTTGAACCAGCCTTGCTTATGCGGATAGCTTTCACTGTCGTTGCTCTTGTATTTCTCAGCACAAAAAAACATACGTCTTTCATTTTTTTGGTATGCAATTGTTGTATTTATAATGCAGTACGTACATAACTATTTTTATTCACTCATAAACATTTGATAACATTCATAGATTATATATATTAGTTTAATATGCAGTTCGTATCAAGAGGTATAAGTAATAGCATTGCAAGTCAGTTTAAATGTAAAATTATGAAAACTTTCAATACGTTAAGCTTTTTGTATTTGCATCGCTGGTTAGTCAAATCCAGTACACGTAATGCAAAATTGTGACAGGGGATAACCAAAAATTTATTTTATAATATAAAGGAGCAGTATCATACTATTCTCATGTTGTATCTATAAAATAAACTTAATTATCCTGTTGCAAACTGTACCCGAGTGAGAACAGAGTTGTCATCCAAAACAAGTGCATTGTATTTTTATATACTGTCTGTAAATTTATGATAGTGTGTTGAAATGTACATAAGACATCTACCATTGGCCGGTTCGCCATGACCAAACTACCTGAATGTGGTCCAATGTAGGGACCATAGGATATAAGGGTTCTGAAATACGTGTATTGTACACTGCATTTTTAATTTTTCTTGGTAAAATTATTTTTTGAGAATAGCAAATCTAAAAAATCATTTGGGATTTCCCAAGTAAAAAAAAACATTTGAATTTAGTTTGTTTTTAAAAAGTGATAATTAAATTCTTTTTGAACATTTTTAAACAGGAAGTCTAAACCCCCAAGGATCGCCCCTGGGAGGAAATCAAATTCGCCCCAAATTAAATAAAAGCCCTTTTCCTTGGACGCCTCTCTATGAAAAAGCCCCCCTTCGGGGGGGGTACTAATGAAAAAACCAATTCTCCTTTTTATCCCATTTTCTTGTTTCAGATATTTTTGAAGAATTCATGTTTTGAAAATGTTAACTATATCACTTTTGGTTTAGAGCAGAGGTTTACCAAGATTTACCCTTTGGGGCTACACAAATTTATTTACCAATTTAAAAATGTTACTTTAAAAGTTAAGGTATTTAAATTCTTAAGAAGAAAGTAGTGTTAATAAAATTAAAAGATGAAGAAAACAGGAAAATTTCAATGTTTTAAAAAATAATCACATTCCCAAAGGAAATAATCTGCATGTATGGCCAAGAAAGTATTTTTATTATAAAAATGTAATTATGGAATGAAAAACGGACAATATTAACATTGGGTTGGTGTAAGCATACTTTAAAGCCTTTTTTATTACAAATCAAAAATAAGCCTTTACACCCAAAGGGGCCAGTGGAAGTGTAAGTGAAAAACGCTGAGAATGTTGTGCCGAGATAGATAGTGTTTTTTAATACTGCTAAATTTCACAATTAGGGTAGCAAGATAACCCAATAAAATGCTTCATCAACTTGGGAAATTTACAGGATGCAACTTAAAACTTACAAAATACGGTTTTAATTCCCATGGCTGGAACAAATAAAAAAAGCCCAAAATTATGAAAGGAATTGGACATTTCGTCTGTTCTTTATGATTGTTTTACAAAACGAGCAAGAAATGCGAGGATAATCGGAAGTAGGGGAAAAGGGGAAGGATGGTGGTAGCAACAGAATGCTACTACCTCCTTATCCTGACTGCCTCTAATCTTTTTTTTTTCTTGTTAAACTGTGACTTTACAATTGTAAGGCCCCAAAAACAAAGGTCTTTTTTAACTTTTTTTGTAAGTGTGAACATTGTAAATACATTTCTCAAGTCTTTTAAAAATCTGTATGTTACACCCACACCAGCTAAAACTGCTAAAAAAAAAATATTGTATATTTAAATAAGTTACAAAATTTAGGGTCATTGGCGAGCCGACTGTTTGACTTTCCCGTTGTTTTTTTTTTTTTCTGGAAACAAAAAAACTTTTAGTTAATTTTGTTTATTTGCCTTTAACTAAAAGGAAATAGCCCCAAAAAGTACCCCCAGTCCATTATTTTATAATCAAAAAGAAGCGCTAAGCCACAAGGTTTACAGCGCTGCAGGGCGGGAAGGAAGCGGGGGCATCAGGTGGCAAAAGGGGATGGATGAGTAATAGGTTACGGATAACATGGGGTAGTGGATGGTGAAAGGGAAAAAGGGCAGCAAGAGACTGAAAAAAAAAAAGGGGGCTGGGGGGGGAGTGCGAAAAGTATATCCAATTTGTGGAGTAAATCATCAAAAGAATCAATGAGAGATCAGGTTAGAGGGGGGTCCATCAGCAAGAAGGGAAAAGGAAAAAGGGGGAAAGTAGTAGAACGAAAACGACGTTGGAGGTAAATTCTGCGTGCTCGTTGATAGAGGGCAGCAAACAGAATGGGGCTAATGATATGGAACTTGACATGCTACGGGGGGGGGAACAGGGTGCCTCCCATGAGCCCCCGGATAAGAGGTGTGGCCAATGCGAAGGCGGGAGAGAGTGGTCCTCCCCCCTCGGGCACTATGAAGAAGAGGCCGTAACCATGCCGGGGGGTTTTAAAAGAAGGTTCCCGGCCCAGAGTTGACAACGTTGGGTTGCCAACGGGTGCGAAGGGGGGGTAGCTATTGCAGCAAATGTCCAAAATGGAACCCTCGATGGGAAAATTTGGTAGGTTGTATGTGACCGGCAGCATGTCTGCTGTTCATTCCCCTGTACGTCGACATGACAGGGACCCAAAAAAAACAATATTTTTGTTTTGGTAGGATACGGCGTACCCAAAAATTTGGGATACGGAAAAAAGGGGGATAAAAGGTATCAAATTTTCTTAGCCTGTAGGCCAAGGGGAGTCTGAACTATAAAATGAGACACGGGCATAGATGCGATACGAAAAGTGCTGTAAGAAGGGCATACAGTTCAGCAGTAAAAATGCGCTAAAGATAGAAAATGTCCCCCACACGCTGTCCGGAAACACTGCTCAAAACCGTGCCGTCTGAAGACTTAGCCATCTTTTACACAGCATGGGGGAAATGGGAGGGGAAGTGATCAAGAAAAAAAGAGCGGGAAGCCACTGTAGGCATTAAATTTCGAGAAAAAGGAGTTGGGGAAAAAAGCCCGAACAGCTGGAACTTCCCGGGGGTGGGGAAAAAGTGAGATGCTACATGAACAATTTTAAAGTGGTAACTAAAGGGGAACGAGGAATGTAGGCGAAGAGAAAAGGGACGGGCAAACAGGGGCGGCGAACGAAAAAGAATGTCTACTAATATCGGTGACCATTCTAAAGGAAAAGGATTGTGTAATCGTAGAGGTAAAGTACGAAGGCAAGGGGCATCAGGGGCATCGACAAGGAGGGAACTTTCGTTTCTGTATAGAGGCCTCAAAAGGGGAAAGAGGGGAAAAAAAGCACCAAGGCACAAATGTAATCCTTAGTGATGGATGAGTTAAGGGTAGAGAGATACAGGAACCCGCCGGAATAAATCTGTTCCCATAATCGGTTTCAATAAAAGAGGGCTGATGTGGGGAACAGAGTTCGACACAGCTCCCCAGGAAAGATGAGAAAGGGGTTTTTTAAAAAGGGTTTTTAGCCGGCTGTGCAAGTTGCCTTCAAGGGGGGGAAAATGTGGGGTTTTCCAGGTAACACGGAAAAGGAAGGCTAGAAACCTACTGTATACGTTCGGGGATGGGGAAAGCCAAGAGATACAAAGGTGATGGGAGATAACAGAGCGTCTAGTGAAAGTAATTTGGGATTTTTGGTACTTGAAAATTTAAACCCATGCGTGGTGGCCCAAGGGGAAAACCCGGGTCGACCGCATGGGGAGAGAAACTGCAAAAAGTTGACGTCAGCGCCTGACAAGCAATAGCAAAGTCATCAACATAGAGTGAGACCAAATATTGGGGGAGAACGAGGCCAAAAAATTCATTTAAAACAAGGAAAAAAAGTGTTGTGCTTAGAACCACCCCTGAGGGACCTTTTTCGTTGGGACGAAGTCCGGGGAAAGAACTTATTGACTCGAACAGGGAAAAATGTCTGTCAGTTAAAAAGTTTTTAAAGGGGAAGGAGGGTTTAATTGCCTCGGGGCCCCAAAGGGAAAGGGGCCCGGGGCCCAAAATATTTACCTCCAAGTTGTGTAAAATGCCTTCCAGGTAAAAAAATATGGATTTAACCCGGTGATTATTCGCAAAGGCATTACGAACTATATCCAAGCGTAAAAGGGGTCTAGGGTTTTAGAACGCCCTTACGAAAGCCAATTGCATGGGAGAGTTGTGTGTCTCTAATCCCAATCAAAGTCGATTTCAAGACTTCCACACTTTTAAAACGCACAGTAAGAGCGAGGGCAATAGTGGGGGACAGTCCTGTATCCCCGGGTTTGGGAAAGGGGAAAACCCAATGGCAGTTTTTCCACAGCTGGAGAAGAACTCCTTGTGCCAAATTTAAGATTGAAGGGGTAAGGGGATACAAGGGCTGCCGATGTAAATGTTGTAACATACGAAAATGAGTGTCGTCGGCCCAGCTGCCGTGATCGAAGCTGAGAGCGTTGCCCCAGTTCTTGAAGTGAAAAAGGCCTTTATACGTTCTTGGAAAAAAGGGAAAAGCCCCAAGGGTACAAAATCTCGGCGACTTTGAGGAAAAAAACGAGGGGCATAGATGGAGCCCTCGGAAATACGGACCAAATTTTGCCAATTCATGGCCGCCGAAGGTTTGCCATCAAACCCACGCCCATAGAACAGGGCCGGTCAGGAATATTTACCCCAAATTTTCCCTCACTTTTTTCCAGACTGCACTCATAGAAAAGCAGAGGTATGGTGGAAACATAGTCCGCCAACAAGTGCTTTAGCTTCACGGGCCGGCGAGCAATCGCACGTTTCTGCTTTAAACAGAAGCTTCAGCGGTTCATTTTTACCGGGACCCGCCCCATGCAGCACGTTTTCAAACCGATGAGCACAAGAGGGGAAACCCCCAAGGGATGCCTTCTGAAATGCCTGCTGAGGGTTTGGGGGATAGAATGAGAAGGCGGTATAAACTGACGTCGAGAAGTGTGTAGGAGCTCATCAATGGAGGATGAGAAGGAAACCTCATAAAAACATGAGGGGGTGTGGGAAGTCCCAAATTGCCGCGAGGGCTAGGGAACGGTGGTGAAAAGAAGAATAAAAAGTCGGAAAATGACGCTGTCATTAATTGGTAGAAAAAGACCGGTGAAGTCATGCAGTGGGGAAGAGGGGATGATAGATCGATGCAGAAGAGTTGGTACGAGGTCAAAATGGGTGGGGGACCCCTATTTAAAACATGGAGGGGTAAGGGGAGGGAAAAACCTCCAATGGATGCCCAGGGTCACAATGAACCCCCCCCCGAGGAAAAGGTGGGGATTAAAATCACAAGTAACAGAAGGGTGGCGGGGGAAGGATAAAAAAAGAAAGGCAAAGTCGGGATAGAAAATGCCCGAGAAGGAGAGGATATAAAGAAAATTTGTAAACCACTTATTTAATTTGGGTACGGGCTGCAGTGTAATGCGCGAGGTTGGACAAATAGGGTTTAAGTACGGGGAAAATCCCTTTCGTAGAAGAAGGGACTTTATTAAAGGTCCCTCTGGAAAGGATCCGAAGAAACAATAAAATTTTAAAATGACTCAAGAAATCTTAATGACCGATTCAAATAAACCATACCCCCCCCCCGGGATTTAACCCCAAATA